AGAGAGAGAGAGAGAGAGAGAGAGAGAGAGAGAGAGAGAGAGAGAGAGAGAGAGAGAGAGAGAGAGAGAGAGAGAGGCAGAGACAGAGACAGAGACAGAGACAGAGGATGCCTCGGCTCCCTGCTCTGCACCTACGAGTGAAAGAGAGATTGGGCTCTAGGACAATGAGATCTTCCTGAAGAAGCCAAGTGGCAACTACAATGATCCTACTTGATTTCATCTGCCAGTTTGTTCCCTGGATTTCCACAGGCTATTGTAGAACTAAGCATCTGGCGCCTGAATAGGTGAAGAGGTCTATCTGGTCTGGCGCCTGAATAGGTGAAGAGGTCTATGTGCTCTATCCGAAGATTCCGAACTGGCTACATGAAAAGTTTTGAACTTTTGTCTCTGTTGAATATCGGTTGTTCTGAGGGACGCTGGACCCGGTTTCCGGCAGGTGCAGCTCCCCACGAAGAGATTGGCGCCATCGAACTAAAAAAAAAAAAAAAGCCATTGCTTTCTTTGCAATTTGTACAACATGCTTCTGTTCCGGATGTTTTATGAATTTGTTTGAAAATAAAAAATCTGATAAAATCAGTAAACAGAAGATAGCATAACCTAATGGAGAACCTCCTAAGAGAAGAACCGGACAAGCGCAGAAGGGTAATGATCACACCAAGCAGACGAGAGCCGGACCTGAGGGTAGTGTCTTGGAACATCAACGGAATGGTGCCGACCCTGGAAAACCAGGACAAATGCCATAATGTCCGTAATATTCTGACTGGTTTGGTAAGAACCCCCCAGACTGCTTCTGCATACAGGAAACACATCTGACAGACTCGCTGGAGCACCAGCACACTCAGAGCTGCATCCTCAAGCAACTCCGGTGGGTCAAGACAAGTTTTTGGGCAACAGCAGGACGGCCTCATTCAGCCAAGGTAACAATCCTGCAGAATAAGCGGTCTCAAGCGGCAAACAAAATAGTGCTTCAAGAGGTTAGGACGGATGAGGGCGAAGGGCGATGGGTGAAACTCAACTTTGTTTACCAAGAAGAGCAGTTCTTGCTGTTCTCAGTTTATTGTCCTAATGCAGGACAGCACCGGTCCACCACGATAGACACGGTACAGGCCCACATCAAACGGGCGAGACACCTCATATTAGCCAGGGACTGGAATGCCGCCTTGGAACTGCTTAAAAATAGAATGTCAGGGGATGGTTAGGGGTAGGAACGGTTGGGGATGAAGCCCTCCCCAATCTCATGACAACTTGGGACCTCATCAACCCATATACGCTGCAACGGCCAGATGAAAAACGGTTCACCTTCTACAAAAAGAACCGCAGCCAGCACATCTCCACTTCCAGGATAGATTACTTCCTAATATCTCAAGATATGATAGGAACACTACACTCGGCCACAATAGGGGACCTGCGATACTACACAAACCTATCTTCCTCAACCTCACCACTGACAAACAGATCCAGAGAGGTAGAAGCTTTTACAAGGTGAATAACTTGTGGCAACTCCTGAACTGAGGCAGGCCTTACTACAAGTGTGCCTGGCACACAATCCAACAACACAGGCATTTACAGATTTAATTGAGGCTCTGTCAGGAGCGACAGCAACAGTATCCAGACGGTAAGCAGCCGAACACTCAGTACAGGAGGTAGAACTACCGTGAGCACTGCGTATAGCAGAGAGGAACCGAATCAGTAACCCAGGAGTGGAGCTGTATGAGAAGGTAATGGAGGCAGCCAGGGAAGAATTTGGAGACTGGGCGAGTTGGAGGACACGGGGACTGCAGTTGCGAGCATGGGTGAAGGAATGGGTGGAGGGAGAAAGAATGACAAAATATATTTTTCAAAAGATTAAAAGAAAAGGGCGAAATGCAGCGATCGAACAGCTGGAGGGCCCACAAGGAGTGGCATCAGACCCAGAGGAGGTGGTAGCGGTGACTCTCAATTTCTACAGCAAATTATACACGTCGACAGAAAGAGAGTACCCAGCGCACCAACTCAAGGAAGTAAGAACAAAGTTCTTGGCATACCTCGACTGCAAGGTGGAGAGGGAACAGGCGAAATGCTGGACGCCCCTCTCTCCCAGAAGGAGCTGAAGGAAGCCCTCCAATCCATGGCCCCCAACAAGACGCCAGGCAGAGACGGCTTCACAATGGAATTTTGGCTAGAGTACTGGCCCATTCTGGGAGGAAAGCACGAAAACTACCTGAACCAAGCATGGCAAGAGGAGGGGCTCAGGCCAGACCTGGCAATAGGTATTGTGACGCTTCTATACAAAAAGGGCCACCCCAAGGACATCAAGAATTACCGGCCGATTACTCATCGGACACTAACTCACAAGATAGTGGCCAAGGCTCTACCCAATCGATTGAGAAACCAGTGGATGCTTCCATCTTGACCAAACAGGATTCATCCCGGGACGCT